AAAAAAAAAAAAAAAAAAAAAGAAAGAATCCGTGTTTCACACGACATACGAAAATTAACAAAAAATGAGTCACAGATCTAATTGTAAAACTTCAAACCACAAAATTGCTAGAAGAAAGGTAAGAAAAATCTCTGGAACCCTGATTCGGGCAAAGATTTCTTAAATGAGACACCAAAATCCCAGTCCATAAGAGAACAAATTAACTTTATCAAAAGGAACAGCATCTGCTCTTTGAAAGCCGCTATTATTAGGAAAAAGGAAACCACAGACTGGGAGAAAATATTTGCAAATCACTTATCTGATAAAGGATTTTTATCTAGAACATAAAGGTAATCCTCAAACTCATACATGAAACAACAAAAAAGGTGGCCGAAAGATGGAACATACACAAAAAAATGTAAAGGGATCGCAACTAAGCACACGAAAATACGCTCAACATCATCAGTCATTACAGCAACTCAGCCTTCTGCCATCTTTCTTGCCTATTAAACTCTCTACTCCTTAAAAAAAAAAAAAGAAAGAAATTCAACTGGGTGCTGCGGCTCATGCTTGTGATCCCAGCACTTTGGGAGGCTGAGGCTGGCAGATCACCTGAAGTCAGGAGTTCGAGACCAGCCTGGCCAACATGGCGAAACCCCATCTACTAAAAGTACAAAAAATTAGCCGGGCATGGTGGCACACACCTGTAGTTCCAGCTCTCAGGAGGCTGAGGCAGGAGAATTGCTTGAACCCGGGAGGAGGAGGTTACAGTGAGCTGAGATTGCACCACTCACTCCAGCCTGGGAGACAGAGAAAGACTCTGTGTCAAAACAGCAACAACAAAAAACGAAAGCTGCTAAGCGCGTGCACACACACACACACACACACACACACACACACACACTGTTAGACGTTGCTGAGTATTATACGCAGAGTATCTAACTGAGTAGCTCTAGGTGAGGCCTGAGAACGTGCATTTCTCACAAGTTCCCAGGCAATGCTGAAGCTGCTGGTCCAGGAACCCTGCTTGAGAACCGCTATTGTAGAGTCTGTTTCTGCCCTGGGTGACATGATGTGTCTGCCCGGTCTTTGATAATCTGCTTGTCACCTTATAAGTATGTCCCAAATATTGCATGGGCAAGCCCGGAGAGTTGGGGCCGTATCAGAGAGGCTGCCTGGAAGAGGTGACCAAGAGCTGGCCATGAGAATGAGCATGAAATTTCTTTCATTCTCAAAACTCATAAACGAAACAAGCTGGAATGAACGTGAAATTAGACAGGTGCAGTGAGGCTGGCATTCTTGCTAAGGCAAATATTGGGGGGGCATCCTCTTTACTCAGCAGTGTGTTCCTTTTTCATACCTTTCCCCCCATGATGTGGGGTCATTAGGAGCCCAGACCTTGACCTTGAGGGCAAGAGATGAGAAATTATCTCAGCACTGATTTTTCATATTCATTTAATGAGCTTTGGCCAAATGTATCCATTTGAATCAGCAAAAGAATTGTTTGTTTTCCTATTATTTTTGAGAAGGGAAAAGGCCCAAGCTGGGCCCCTCTGAGCTCTCCCCAGCCTGACCTGTTTGTTAGGTGTCTGTGTAAAGCAATTGGTCACAGCGTGAATTCCTGTCAAAGACGCATTTGAAGTGGTTTGCTTTTTTCCCCTGTATTTCTGTGGGGCATTTTTTAGACCAATGGATTTGCGGGAACTGGTAGGGTGTTTCTTTGTTCTTTCTCTATTAACTGGCAGGTATTAAGAGAATGTTCCCTCTGTTCTTTCAGAAGAAAAAAGAAGTTTGAAAATTCACTGGTCTTTGATACAAGCCTGGGCTAGTTTCTGGGGTTGGGCAGGCCAGGGACAGCCTCCTTAAGGAAATCTGGTGATCAGGACATGCCCCCCAGGAACGGGAGTTGCTAAGTCCCCAGGGCTGTCAGACTGAACAAATCATACAGGACGCCCAGTTAAATTTGAATTTCAGATAAACATTGAAGGATGTTTTTGTATAAGCATGTCCCAAATATGGCACATGGATGCCTGAAGGGTTGGGAGCATGTCAGGGCTGGTTGCCTGGAGGAGCTGATCACAGGCTGTTCCCGGAATGAGAATGATAGTCGTCAGGTGCAGTGAGACCAGAATTCTTGTTGTACCAAATATTGTGGGGGACATATTTAATTGTGAAAAAAAATTATACACTGTTTATCTAAAATTCGAATTTAGGGCCGGGCACAGTGGCTCACGCCTGTAATCCCAGCACTTTGGGAGGCCGACGCAGGTGGATCATGAGGTCAGGAGATGGAGACCATCCTGGCTAACAGTGAAATCTCGTCTCTACTAAAAATACAAAAATTAGCTGGGAGTGGTGGTGTGCGCCTGTAGTCCCAGTTACTCTTGAGGCTGAGGCAGGAGAATCTCTTGAACCCGGAAGGCGGAGGTTGCAGTGAGCCAAGATCACGCCACTGCACTCCAGCCTGGAGACAGAGCAAGACTCCATCTCAAAAAAAAAAAAAAAATTGAATTTAACTGGATGCCCTGCATTTTCTTTGGTAACCCTGCAACCCAACTTCAACCCAACGTCATCCCTACTGAGCCCTGCTTTTTCCCTCTCCCCCTAGCCAGCCCCTCTGACTATGATGAATTCTGCTTCTATTTCATCTGTTAACAGCTGGTTCCATCTCCACTGAAAACTCACTGGTGACAGTGGAGTCCAACGTAGCAATGTTCAAATCCCAGTGACAGCGGTTAAGCTAGGTGGCCTTAAGCAAGGGACCTCATCTCCTTGGACCTCATCTC